TCTAAGACAATTTGTAGGGGAGGGGGCGGGTCTTCTCACGACTGGAGAGTGGCTTGTCATCTCAGCCTCCAATTCACCTCCCTCTACCTTGGCTCTGTGTCTTTCCGATTCCTCTTGCTTTCTTGTTGCATCTTTTATTTAGAACCTAGCACACTGCTTACATATAGTAGGTACTTCATACTGGCCCAGTGAAGGACAGGACACAGATGGGTTTCTCTGCTGGCTTTTCGCTAGATCTGTTTGTCTGAGCAACTGCCTGTTTTCTTTTCAGCTTCCCACCTCCTATCCTTCTAGACAAACTGTGGAGAATGGAACTATACATCCATCCAGCTTGCAGTGGCTACATGGAGTGGAGTCCCCGACTAATGGCTGTCCTTTCTAGAGGACCAGGTTAGGGACTTCCCTCTGCTGGTGCAGGAGGGGCAGGGTACCAAGCCCCTCACCAGGAGTGGCATGACAGTGGCTGCCCAGTTCCATAGGGTTCAGACACTACTGCCTTTGTTTTGAAACCAACGAAAGTCACGTGCTTTCCTCCTTGTCCGGGTGCACTCCGGAGTTGCATATTTGGCTACTCTGCATTCTTCCTGTTGCTGGGATGGCTGCAAGGGGAAGAGCAAGGGTAGATCCGAGTGCCTGTCTGGAGTTAAGGACAGCTGGCCAGAGTACTAACTGTAGTCTGGCTACACAGTCTTAGCCTTAATTTTGTCTGCCAACTATTACCAAATCCCATACATTAATGGGAAACGGGGTCGTCACAAATTCTTTCATTTTGAAAGGCACATGAGGGTAAGCAAAGGGAATTCATCTCAACATTACAGAACTTTCCTTTAAAAATCCCAGTCAGTCTTTGATTTTTCTCCTCATAATCCAGCATATAGTGTCATGGATAGGTCCAATCAGTTGTCATTTCACATATTATGGGTCTGAAGCTTACACCACACTCCAGGAGGTTGTCTTCAGGGCATATGTTACACAAGGTAATAGATCAAAAGCAGTGTATTTGCTAAGCTACTTGGCATGGTGGGGAGGGCCCAGACTTGTTCCTACACAGACTGAAGCCAAGGCTGTTCCTCACTGAGCCTGAAATGTGGCTATTCATGATTCACAAGGCCAACAAGCTCCATGTGGGTGATCTGGGTGTAGTATCAGTGGTTCTTTGACAGGTCTTCTGCAAACTTCACTTTGGAAAAGTGCCTCCTATTGTTCATGGGTGGTGCTCCTTTCCTTCCCCCCTCCTCAGAGTAGTGATGGGAACAGAATCTAGGCCTTGCATATGTGAATCATGTGCTCTACTATTGAGGTGCACTCTCACCCCCATGATGCATATTTAAATGCTCCCTTTCATTATCACCTCTGCCCAGATGCCAACCCTCTTGAATTTGCTGTCAGCTCCTGTCCTACACCTCCAATTATTCACATGGCTATTTCTCTTGGGATTATAGGGTCCTTTGATCTACCTCCCTCATGTTAAAATCAAGAAAGTCCAGAGAGGTAGTAAGGCTTTGCCAAGTTCCATCAATTGGAAGGACCAAGACAAGATGGCAGACTCCCCCACTGTCTAGCAAACAGGTGATGATCTGTTCCCATTGTCCATGCAGACAGGACATTTCTGCATACCCAACACGTGACAACCCAAGTCCTGGTCCTCTAGGCCTGGCTCTGCCTCCTGAGTTTTCAGTCTCCACGAAACAGGATTTCTAAGAAGGCAGAGCTCACAGACCCACACACATGGCTCTCTGCCGCTTGCCTGCCCAGAATGGCTTTCATCAGGAGCTCACATTTTTTCTTGGCGTATGCATGGATGAGTGATTGTAAGTACTGTCTGTCACTGTATCATCTGAGCCTGGATCTTCTCAACTCACACTTCTTTCCCAGCCTCTGAGGACCCACCAAACACCAAGTTCTATTCGTGTGGTCCCTACTGGCTCCTCCTTTTGGTTCATCTCTTTACTTCCTTCCCAAGCTACAGCCCTTATCTCCTTGGACTAGAGAGAACTTTATCTCTTACTCTAGGCATTTCCTTCTGTCCACATTCTTTCATGATAGAAGCCTCACGAGGTGTCTCTGTATCTGACCCTGGACACATCCCCTTTTTCAGTTTTGCCTTATACTTTGTTTGCCCTGCCCACCTAGTTTAATCTGTGAATTCTAAGCATCACTTAGGCCCAGACAAATACAGCCTGTAACACTATGATAACCACAAAGGAATGCAGTGGATACAGCATGTAGAACCCTGGTCACACCACCACATGCCGGGTACTACACAAAGTTATTCATACACATTATTTTATTAACCTTCACGGAGTCCCTAGGTGGTAAGACCGATTATTAGCCTCGTGCTACAGTGGTAGACACCCACGCTCAGAGGTGTCAAGGCATTTACCAAAGGTCACAAACCCAGTACCAAAACAGATGAAATTCATACACAATTCTATCAGACAACCAAGCCATGCTCCTAACCTCTAGGCTGTGTAGTGGAAAGCTATTTCCCTCCTCCTTGGACAGCTCCTCGCTCTGCTCAGTCACTCATTTGCAAGTTTTCACGTTATCAGCATTTCAGTGAACACCCTCTTCAGTGCACATCTTTCCTGTCCCTGGTCATGCAGTAATCCACGAGAGAACGGGAATTACATTTCTGGGTCCTTACAGGTTTCTCCCCATGTGCACATTGCTAACTGAAGAGGAGGGTGAAGGTCCCCATCCACCGTTAGTATTCTTTTCTTTCTTTTTAGGAACTCTTCCTTTAGGTGAGGAGTCTTTTCCCCTCCCAGGACTGCAGGGAAGTAAGGAATGTGATCCAAAGAGAGGAAAAGTCCTGTGTTCAGGTCCCGAGTCATAGCCAGGTCCAAAGCCCCTAATCTGAACCTTTTTTCCTGTCCTCGGGACACTACAAATGAAAATTACATAGCAGAAAATAGTTTTACACACAAAATTCAAAACAAAACCCACCTACTATATGTAAATGACCTTCAGGCAGTACACGTGGGGTACACATGAAACACAGATGGATTCTGTGTTTGGATTTGCGTACTGCCTCTACAATGTCTCTTATACAAACATTTCAAAACCCACAAAATCTGAAACTCCAAACACTTCTGGCCCTAAGCCTTTCAGATAAAGGAGGCTGGTTCTGTATTTGTATCCACTCCATCTAGGAGACAGGCCTGGCAGCATTTGCTAGACTGACTTTGGAATTCTGAAGCTTTCACTCCTGAGGCTTTCGCATGGTTACAGATATTCCAAGGGGAGGAGAAAGTTCCCCGAACTCCTCCACTAGGAACAACTGTGGGACTGATTTACTTTCCTGAGAATAATAAATACGGTTGACAACTACACAGCCCTGTGTATACATGACTACAGTATGTCTGTTAATTGATCCATGTAAAATTACCACCATGGGACCACACAGATCATTCTATACATGGAAAAAGTGTTAACTTGGGGCTCAGTCATCAGGAAGTTAGTGGACATCAGGTTAGTCATTATCTCTCTCTGGACTTCTGTTTTTCGCTTGTCCTAACAGTCTGGGATATTAATTAAGACTACACGTTGGTCTGAGTTCATGGCAGCCCTATGTTTTTAGAACCCAAGAAACGAAATGCTAGAAAAGCTGGTGACGGTGACACCCCGGGTAAGAAAGAGGGCTTTGCTCTTGTGCTCCGCCACTCACTGGCCCCTGCAGCCCAGAGCTGGGTTTTACGTAAGGCCTACGCTTGTCTACAGAGGCACTCATGCGCTCTGGCTGAACTGTACCAGCCCACTCCTTCCTGTTCCCAGAGGAAGGAACAGGCAGCCTCCTTGTCCCAGAGGCCCTTCAAAGTCATCCCTACCTGCTAGCCCCGTCCATACCCTCTGTGTGCTCTGCATAGTAAACACCAAAGGTTTCACAAGGCCCTGGCCCCCAGGGTGGGAGGTGGGGGAGGCAGATGGCCTGCATCTGGAAACCATCACCAGCTCCCTGGCTGTGTTAGTAAACTAAACCCCCCATTTATTACAGAGGAAAGTGACAGTTAATGTGACAGTTGTAGCTTTTTCCTCCCCTTTTAGTCTCTTACAAGACCATTTAAATGGAATTGGAGCTAATGAAGGAGGACATGCTTGCTTAGCCCAATCAGGTGGCGTCTCTGTACTCATCTCCAAAACTGCTCTAAACCCATGGTATGGCTTTGTGGGTAGAGACTCAGAAAGCACACACCTTCCAAAGGCTGGGACCCAGAACTGTGGAGGTCACATAAGAAAGGATCACAGTTATCAGGCAAGTTCAAATATGGAGTGTTGGACCCAATCTGCCCCTAGACTGTGGTAACAGTGTGTGGATGTGTCCATGGCAAAATTGTGCAGACCTGTTCGTGCTCGCTCTTGCTCTGTGCAAAGGAAATTAAATTCTGAAGACTCAGGTCCACGGACTACACTGAAGTCAACTTCCTGGTGTTGCTGTGGGACTAGGGTCCTGTAGAATGTTACTACTAGGGAACTGGTACAGGAACCTATCTATGGTTTCTTGACATCTTGTCAACCAATAATGACTTCAAAACAAACAAATCAAACAAATCAAAGTCTAGGGCAGTGGGGATGGACTTGGACTCATGTCTCCAAGGTACTAGGACAAGAGTTCTAATGCTGTTTTATAAGGGGCTGGAGACGTACGTTTACAACAATGAGGTTATCACCATCATCGTCATCATTGTCACCACCACCGTCACCATTCGTGCTTGCATTTATTAAATACTATGAACGAGACTTTCCTTCTTTCCCTCCCTCTCTCTCTTCCATTTTCTTAATTGCATACAAAACCTGTACCAGACTATCATCACCATGCTACAAAAAGCCCTGGGAGAAGCTGGCTGGCACCAGAGCCCTGCAGTTTTGATGCAGTCAGGCTCTGACCCAGGAAGAACAGGGCTTTGTGAAGCTCTCCACCTTCCAAGCCACCTGGTGTGCCCTCCTGTTCCTCACTCCCATCCTGGCCAGAGAGCCAAAGCAACAAACACAGCACTTACAGGTTCTTAACGTCTGTGATGCCCCGGAACGCCTTCCTCGGGATGCCCTGGATCTGGTTCTCGCTCAGATCTCTAAAACAAGAAGAGAAGAGGCAAACCAGTTAAAGGCTGTGAACACATTCTCTGCATCTCATTACAATAACAAAACCATGGGAGGCTACCCACCAGAAGTGTCTGAGGCGCTGTTTAGTCTCAGGCCCCTGGCCGTTAAAAGTCTGTACATTGTTTGCAAGTGAGGACTTTCACAGAAACAGTTACTAGGCAGGGAGCAGCTTGCCTCAGGGTAGGCACTGTGGGTGGTCTTACACCTCCAGGCCACGAGCCAGGACTCCAGATTATTTGTTACACACACTGCACCCCATTCAGTTCTGGCACCTCCCAAAGACCCTTACCCCCCACCCCAAGATATCCCTCCCCAACTCAAGGTCAACACCACTCAGTTTCCTATATCTCAAGAAGTCCCTTAACTCAAGTTCTCTGCTCTTGGCATTTGGGATTGGAACTGAGCCTGGTCACTGGATTTTCTGATATGGAAAGATGGCCTTTTATGCATTTCCACATACCCCATCCAAAATGGAGGTCCCACCCCTCATTCTGCACTGAGGGATGCCAATACAGTGGTTGCTTCGAAATGGAGAGTATGGTGTGTGGCTGGCTCCAACCCAAATCTTCTCCAAAGATTTAAGTGTCCCCTAGAGCTTTGATTTTCTACCCAAAGAATCATGCAGGCTTTTGTTTGTTTGTTTTGTGTTCTGGTTTCATTTTTATTTTTGCTAGAGCAAACACGTGCATTTGTTTTCATTCAGACCTCAAGCCTGCTTGGATCTCAGTGAGTAATCAATCCGTAAAGACTCATCAGGGCCCCAGGCGTATGAGGCAGCTCTGCCAAATGGTGCAAGCAGCAAGGTTATTTCCGTGCCGCCACATGCTGCGGGAGCATCTTAAGGGAGGACAGTGGGAAGGGGATGCATGTGTGCAGAGGCTGCTGGCCCTCTGGGCTTCTATTCAGCTATGAAAGGTGTATACATACTCATCTAGACAAATAAACATGCCCGGTATTTTGAAAAGAAAACCCCTCAAATAATGAGGGGAAAAAATCCAACCACAGACATAACCACTGCTAACAATTATACACAGAGCACATAGATTTCATCGACATGACCTCCTAATAGACAGCCTATTCTAAACCATTTTTCACATACTCTATTGAGAACATCTGTCTATGTTTTTTACCAAGCATATCAATGCCAACCTTTTTAATGGCAGCACAGCATCTAACAGTATGGTCACTGTGTGACTGTGACTGGTAAACGGATGTTGGCTCAACTTCTGTCATGTGTAAGAAAGGTTAGGATTGGATGAACAAATGGCTCAGCAGAGAAAGAACTTGCTACCAGACCCAACAACCTGACTTTCAACTCTGGAACCCACCTGCTAGAAAAAGTGAACTAATCCCTACAAGCTGTCCTCTGATCGTCACGTATGTGCCACAGCATGTGCATACATGTGCATGCACATTCATGGGAGTACAGAGAGAGAGAGAGAGAGAGAGAGAGAGAGAGAGAGAGAGAGAGAGAGAGAATGTGAAAAGAATTTCTTTAAAAAATGGAAGCACAAGACACATTTCACTGTCCACACCTTGGGGACACTTCTCAGGAATTTCCTCAGCACAAGGCCCTACAATGAGAGCTTGTTGGCCACAGGTTAAACTCATCCTTGCTGAGTTCACCTAAAGACATATTTGGGAAGGATGCTTACATGCTTCCTCCAAAGCTACTGAGGACTTCAAACATACATGGAAGAAGGGGGCAGACAGCCATGTTCTACTGAACATGCAATATTGGGAGGAGGGGGAAGTAGGAAGCAGAAGAGGGACATCATCCTTTTTTTTTTCCTGTCACCTGCTGATAAGTAACACACGCTCTGAGCAGCTGGCTGAACTTCAGGACAGCTGGGCAAGCCTCAGGCTACTTTCAGGCTCCAAATCAAGGGTTACTGTTAGAATCGGGTATACCTATGAGTCCTAGACACTTCTGGGGCTGCCTAGCAGAGTGCTCCCCCATCTCAAATTCAGCTTCCCCTCTCTACAACCGACATAAGTAAATTCTGATGCATAATGAGGTCTGTTGCAGGCTCCCCTAGCCAGACCTGATTCAATGAGCAGGGCTCCAGCCTGGAGTCAGGGCACTGAACAAAAGCCCACGATGACAGGCAGAGGTCAGGCAGTGTCACCCAGGCCACTTGGCTGTTCTCCATCAGCCTCCACAGAGGGGCCCAGGTCCTGTCATCCGACTAATGCAATTTCCACCAGGCATCTGGGCGGCACTGGAGGCTCCCGCAGCCACAATGGGCCCAGTCTTTCCTGCCGAGGCCTGTCGGTCTCCTGTCTATAAGCCCCTGTCCAATACCCTCTCAGCCTCTGCTGTTATCTTTGGCTGCTAGGGAGATGAGGTCTGGCCACAAGGCTGATGAGAAAAATCAGGGGAAAGGGGAAGAAATCAAATAGGAAGAAGGTTTAAAACTGACAGCTTTAACCACTGCTGGACGCTAGAAGGGGTGGTACCTACTCCAGAAAGAGCATTAACCCATTTTGAACAGGACATACACCAAAACATACTGGGGAAGCATAGAGGTTTCGCCTTATAGTGTGGGGTGATCAAGAGAACAGCATGATACTTAAACAGAAAGAGATGGTATGCTGAGGGGAGACAGCTCTTATAGGCAGCCATCGGGCAAAACCTTGCATTTGGGTGAAACAGCTGCTTTGGTTTTTCTGGTTACCACATCCTTCCTGTAAATGTATCCAGCTTTGTTTCTGCTTTAAAGAACCCAGTAAAAGGCTTTACTTCCAGTCTCCTTATCACTGTATTTGCCCTGTCCCAATTGAGTAAAACAGTAGCGCGTAGGGAATTTATCTGCTCCCCGTGACCATCTGCTAGTAAATTTTATTAATTTTATTTTCTATTGAGCCTCTCTTCTATGGCTAACAATGCCACAGTCATGCATCTACAGGATTGTATATTGATTTCATAAATACCTCCAGTGGGCTGACAAACTGACAGATTTAATGGTGTTACTGATGGGGCGTGGAGGAGGGTTCGGGTCTGGGTGCTTCATTTTCGGTAACCATCTCTTCACAATTATCACAGGGCCTTTGTGAGGCTTCCTAATAGTGTGTTTATCTCAGCTTGATGTCTGAGCACAGAGCTATTGTTAAGTCCGATCCTCGAGAGAGACAAGAGCAACCATTTTGGCTGACAATTAAATAAAAATAACAAAATCTATCCATGATGCCTAAAAGCCTAGTTCTGGTCAATTGCTTGTTCAGGTTGCAATGCCTAAGATAAAGAAACACGCAGAAGTGACCAGAATGGCATTCCTCCTCCCCCTTAAACTGAAGGAAGGCATAGGTTAAAGAAAGATTGGGCTGTGCAAAGTGTGCTGGGCTTTTTAAGGTTCCAGGAAGAAAGATGGCAGGTCGGAAAGGCTTTCTTGGTTGGGAAGTGGGCTATGGATCAGGATGCCTTTTTAAATAATTAGGCCTCGGAAAGCTAAGGAGAACTGCATTACCTAAAGTGCATTTCCCAGCTTCCGGAAAATGATTAACTGACTGATTATTCCATCCCAAAACACAGGACCAAAGAGGACTTATTAAGGAGACAGTAAGTCAAATAGGAGTTGGCAAGAACAGACATATCCCACATCCAGCCAGCCCTCCCGCAACCTTTTTAATTTACTAAAATGCTTTGGACGCAGATTAACTTTCTTGGCAAATTTATTATTGCTTCATCTACCTTGAAACAGGAACCGTGGGCACTTTGATAAATGGATTGTCTAGTTCCAGAGGAGCCTTTGAAATGCTTCCGGGGCGCTCCCAGAGATGTCAGGTATTCTTTGTTCTCAGGGCAACAGTGAATGGCAGTCCTTGCTTCCACCACCCCTACCTGTGCTGGACTTGAATTGAAAATACTCCAATGGGTACACTTGTTTTGGGTACACTCATTTCAACTTGTCTGTATTAAATGACAGTTTACATGTGGGGATGGGGGATGGGGAATGGGGGTGGGGTACTCTTTGAAGTTTCAAACCCAATGATTATAAACTTGTAAGATGGGTGAAAACAGCCAGAATCATTGTGAATGCTTGTTTCTGAAGAGAAGGGTGTGACTTCTAAGTTGTATGATCACTCAAGTTGCTTCAGTACTCTGATTTAGTTTCCTCATCTTTCAAATAGGGTTATGGGTTTACCAGCTTCCACAATCAAGATAACAAAACATGGACACACGGAAAGCACTTTGTACAACCGGAGCACAGAGAACACTTTGCAAGTGGTGTGTTTCCTTCCTGGGTTTCTTCCTCATTTAGGTTTGGATTTATGTAGCTAAAAATGTCCCCAGTCATCACCCACAGGATACACACTTAAAATGGGGCACAGAATAAAACACACTAATGTTATGCGTATTCCTTCCATGAAATCTGAGGGGAAGACAACACTTCCCTTGTCCAGAATCTACAAAGGACTCTCCGTATTTGATCCCCAGTCATTTAATTCTGGCTTATACAATAGAGATTGGTTCACGAGAAAGGTTGAGAATCTCTAGAGAGGCAGATGAGTGCCTTGCTCAGCCGTCACTGGGAAAGTTTCCTCCTGCAGCTGATGGGAACAACTACAGAGACACACAAAGACAGACCTTGGAATACTCAGTCCTAGATGGGATGTCTCCATTAAATCCCTCCCCTCAGGGCTCAGGGGACTCTGCCAAAGAGGAGGTGGAAAGAGTGTTTGAGCCAGAAAGAATGGAGGACACCAAGGAACCAGAGCCCTCTAAACAGAGCATGACAGGCACACATATAAACTCAGAAAGACTGTGGCAGCATGCACTGGGCCTCCATGGGTTTGCATCAGATGGAGTCCTAGAGCTGAAAGAAGTGAGCATGTGATGCCCCACTCCCTAACCCAGTAGCTATCTCCAATTGACCACCACTTGCAAATACAAAGCTGTCTGCAAGGGAATCTCACTGGGAAACCATCCATTCCTAAGGGTAGATTGCATGCCCAGTAGTATATGGCT